AAACCTCGTTTTTCATAGCTCCAAAAATTCGAACACACATCACAAACGTACATGTATATAAATGAACAAAATGTGTAGAAACATACATATATATAATGAACGAAAAGGGTAAATACTTATCACCACCTACCTTGATTTTCTTAAAATATAAATGAACAAAATGTGTAGAAACCTTTCTTCTTCACATTCCTACTATTTTTTCAGCTTAACTTAACTAAAAATAGATTTTTGAGAGAAAAATAAAGGCAAATTCGAATTTAATGAGAGGTGTAGTAAAAAAAAAAAGTGACTTTTCTCTTCTTGTAACCTCTATTTTTAATGAAACGCTAAATATAAGAGTTGTATTATCATTAATCTTGTTAAATTGAATCTTTAAGTAGGAATTTAAAGAGTTTTAAACCTATAAAAATAAAAATTATAAAACATTTATATGATGAAAAATAGAGGAAAATGAATTATTCATATGATTTGTAACCTATCTCTATGAATGTCCACTAACAAAAAAAAACTTATTCCATCCAATTAATTTGATATAATTGTTCTTAATGTGCAAAATGCGAAATTTTTAACTCAAAAAATGTTTTATAAAAACATTTGAAAAACATTTTGCATGTTGATTCAAACTAGGGTTGCCCATACAAAATACCATGCAGATGACCGTTGTGGCAACCAAGTTATTTATTAAATTTTTGTAATCAAATATATTTAAATTTAGTGTCTTAAATTTTTGAGTTTTTAAATATCATATGGCTTGGATTTTCATTACCTTAAATGGGTCGAGCCTCCATAGCTCATTTCTTAAATGAGTTACACCAACCAACGTAACAATATAAAATTTGGGACTTTACATCCCTTACATCTTGAAAAAAATCCGTTCTTGAAATTACCTTAAATAATACAAACAGTGTCTGATACTTGGCTTAAATTTTTGCTTCAGTTTCCCAAGAAACCTCCTCTAAATGTCGCCACTAAATCTTGACCAATGGAATTTTCTTACTCTTTAATTTTTGTACATTTCTGTCCAAAATAGCAACTGGAACCTCTTCGTATGATTAATCTTTCTAAACATATAATATTTGATAATTCATCACATGACCTCGACTGTGCACATATTTTCTTATCTTATACACGTGAAACACATCATGCACGATAGGAAGTTTGGGTGGTAGGGCTAACCGATACGCTACGTTACCAACCTTATCGAGAATTTTGATAGGTCCTATATAATGCGTTCTCAGCATGCCTTTTTTACCAAACCTTAGCACACCCTTTATAGGTGTCACTTTTAAAAAGACATTTTCACCAACTTCAAAATTCAGGTATTTTCTTTGATTGTCTGCATAACTCTTTTGTCGATCCTGAGATGCCTTTATGCAGTTTCTGATCTTATCAACTGCCAGAACTGTTCGCTTGATGATTTATGGACTCAAAATTCTTTTCTCACCAACTTCTTCCCAATAAATTTCATGCCAATGGTTGATTGGAAACTATCGTAATAGGCAAATTCTACTAAAGACGAGTATGACTCCCAACTCCCTCCTAAGTCTAATACACAAGCACGCAACATATCTTCCAATATTTGAATAGTTCTTTCGAATTGACCATCTGACTGGGATGGTAAGTTGTGCCAAAATTCAATTTTGTTCCCAATACTTCATGTAAGCTTTTCCAGAACTTAGAGGCAAACCTCTGGTCTCTATCTAAAACAGTAGATATTGGGATCCATGCAATATGACTATCTCTATAATGTATTACTGTGCCAATTGATCCATACTAAACGTCATTTTCATTGGCCAAAAGTGAGATGTCTTCGTCAATCGATCAATAATTACCCAAATGACGTTATTTCCTTTCACCAACTTCAAAAAACCGACTACAAAATCCATTGAAATATGTTCGCATTTCCATTCTGTTATTTCCATAGGATTTAATAATCCTGAAGGCCTTTGATGTTCTATTTTCACTTGTTAATAAATCATGCATTTACTGACAAAAACTCAAATACTTCTTTTCGTGTTCCTCCACCAAAATATATCTCGAAGATCTTGATACATCTTTGTACCACCGGAATGAGTGGCCTAAGGGGTGGAGTAAGCTTTTTCTAGAATTTCCTTTCTCAATTCCTCGTCCTTAGGTACACAAAGTCTTCCTTTGAACATTAATGCCTCATCTAACGATACTTCAAAATCCTTCCTCTTATCTAATGCAACCTTACTTCTAGTTTTCTGGAGAAATGGACCGTTATCTTGCGCTTCAACAATTCGATCTTTAAGATTTTATCAAATCATCGAAGTCTCTATCTGAGCTGTAATTTGATTCGCATAAACAACAACCTCAATTTTCATCTTCTCGAACTCTTTAACCAACTGATCTTGATCTGACATAAAAAATACCAACTGACCTCATGATTTTCTGCTTAAGGCGTCTACAACCACATTAGCTTTATCAGGATGGTAAAGTATGGTGCAGTCTAGTCCTTTACCAGTTCCAACTATCTTCTTTGTCTCGTATGTAATTCCTTATGGGTGAAGAAATATTTGAGACTCTTATGATATGTATAAATACCACACTTACATCCATATAGAAAGTGCCGCTATAACTTGAATGCGTGAACCACTGCCGTAAGTTCAAGGTCACGTGTCGAGTAATTTTGCTCATATTGTTTTAATTGTCTTGAAGTATAAGCAATCACCTTTCCATTCTACATTAGGAAACACCCTAAGCCTTGCTTAGAAGCATCGTTGTAGACCACAAAACCCTTCGATCTTTCCATAATTGTTGACACTGGTGTTGTGACCAATCATCGTTTCAACTCTTGGAAGCCTTGTTCACACTTATCTGACCAATGAAGTTTTACTCTATTTCGAGTTAACTGAGTCATTGGTCCAGCTATCATAGAGAAGCTTTCAATGAATCTCCAATAATAGCCAGCTAAACCTATAAAATTTCGAACGTCGCCTACATTAACTGCTCTGTTCTTGCCTCTACTTTAGCTTGGCCAACTTCAATCCCATGACTGGTAACTATGTGACCAAGAAACCCTATTCGGTCGAGCCAAAATTCACACTTCTTAAACTAACATATAACTTTTCCTTTCTTAGAGTCTCTAACATCATTCTAAGATGTTCCTTATGCTGATCTTTGTCTTGCCAATATATTAAAATATCACCAATAAAGACTATGACAAATCAATCCAAAATTGATGAAACACCCTATTCATCAAATCCATAAACACCTCTGAAGTGTTGGTTAAATCGAAATGTATCACAATAAATCCATAGTGGCCATACCGAAACCGAAAATTTGACTTTGATATATCAATCTTAGAGAACACCTTTGCTCCTCTCAGCTGGTCAAACAAATCTTCTATTCTTGATAGAGGATACTTGTTCTTAACGGTAAGTTTATTTAGTTCACGGTAATTTATGCACATTCTCACGGTACCATCATTTTTCTCAACAAACTACATCGGTGCTCCCCACGGAGAAACAATGAGTTGAATAATCATGTTATCTAACAATTCTTGAATCTAGATTTTTAATTCTTCCAACTCTTGGTGCTATTCGACACGACTCTTTGGATATTGGTGCTGTTCCAGGAACAAAGTCTATTGCAAACTCGATTTGCCTATCTGGAGGTGTATTTGGAAGATTTTCTAAAAATACATCTTTAAATTCTTGCACTATCGGTACTTCTCTCATCTTATATTCTTGATATTGCATTCCCAAAATATTTACTATAAATCCCTGACTCATTTATTTCTCCAACATTTTCTAGCCTTTGACGCTGAGATTACTTGTGTTTTATGTTTGTTCTTTAATCAAAAGAACAAAAATTCTTCTTTCCCTGAATTTTTAAAGGACACTTCATTTTCTCGACAATGAATGGTGGCACTATTACAACCCAACCAATCTAACCTAGCGAATGGTGGATGTATAACTTTTTAATGGGATATTTGAGTGATTAAAACAAGGTTAAAGTATTGGGGAGTAAATTTAGTGATTTTTAAAATTATAATATGGATTTAAAGTGTGATGAATATATAAAAGTAACTTGTATATGTAATGTTTAAAGGGGAATTTACAAAAAATGTCTAATTTCATGCTTGTCAATTAAAAAATGTCTAATTTTGATAGCTCTTGTAAAAATGGCCAAATTTATTACTAAATTGTCTATTATACCCTTAATGAAAAATGAAGTATTTTTTTTTTCAATTTGCCACAAATTTTGAAAAGATTCAATGATAAGCTATATTAAAATAATGTTCTTGACATTTTAAAGTTGTTATCGATATTTGAACCATATTTATCTTGATACTTCATTTATCTAGAACGAAATTTCATTCCGAAAATGAGAGTTCTCTACATTTCATAAAGTTCTTGACAATTGAAATATAGTTCTTGATATTTAATACACGTGTCAATAAGAAATATAATATTTATTGTGATTAGACATGTGTACTTTTGAAATAAGTAAGACAATTATGTGTCAAAATTTATTGGCCAACAAAATTTTTAATTGTATACACATTTTTATCTTTAGTGTGGAATTAAAAATTGTTAACAATAGTATTTTGGTCAAAAATATTGCAAAATGAATACCGAATAAATTTTGGACATTTTTACAAATGTCAATGTGAAAGTGAACATTTCTTGTAATTTCCACATATTTAAATTAATGAATTTAACAATGTTAATATTGGAATAAACGTGAATAAATATAATACTTTTTATAAAATTTAAAATTTTAATAAGATTGAATTTAGAGCGTGATAAATAAATATATAAAAATGAAATTGAAATAGCGGTACTCAATAAAAATTGCGATTTAAGAATTACCTTTTAAGTAATAACAGCAATTTTGAACATGCAGGCTTTCCGTTTATACCCCTATCAGCTCTTTCACCCTATATCAAAATTTCAATTCTAGGGTTTAGGCACCAAGGTTTTCCTCTCTCTCTATCTTGGCTTTCAATTCACCCATATATAGATTAAGGGAAGATGAGGAAGCTGAAATTTCATGAGAAGAAGCTGTTGAAGAGAGTTAATTTCTTGGAATGGAAGAGAGAAGGCGGCCACCGAGAAGCCTTTGTCATGCACCGCTACCATGTAACAGGCAGAGACGACTTCAAGAAGTAACTCTATCATTCATTTTCATTTGGTTCTTAAAAATTAGTTCAATATTGGTGAAGTTTTGAATTTTTTGAGTATTTTAATTGAAAATGGCATTGTTTAATTACTTGCCATACTTTTTAGGTATTCGAATCTGTGCAGAATGGTGCAGAAGCTAGTGAACATACTAAAACAGATGGATAGCAGAGACCCTTTTCGGACTGAGATGACTGATGCCCTCCTTGAAAAGCTGTGAGTTTTCTCCTTGAAGTTCAATTCTGATATTTATATCCTTAACGAGGAGATTTGTAGCTACATTGCTGTACAATTGTGAAATAGTCTCTGATTTTGTAGTTATATAATTAGTTGTCTTGAAAAAAAAAATGTTGGAAATCCAGCTTTATAGTGAGCTTGCCAAGTTACATAATTGGATCTAAACATAAAGGCCAATTTTCCACGCCTTGACAGGTTTTCTGTGTTACTCCTATTCCATGCTTATGTAGGGGGCAAAGTTCTCAACCCTTTTGGATAGCCTAATTTTGTACATGGGTTGCACCTCCTTTCCCTAATGAGAAGGGTCTTCCCCCGCTTGCCATCTATTTTCTGCTCCTGCATATGAGATTGGAATCTAACGGTTTTGGAAACGCGGACACTATAGATATAGAAACTCTATTTGAATGCAAGAGTATGACAATTCTTATGTTTGATGCCCCCACACACACACACAAAACAAATAATAATAATAAAAAATTAAAAAAATGAAGGACAACAGTGATATTTTTTCAAGTGAACTTCGTATTGAATCTATATGCGTCAATTTCTATCAATTTCAATGCTTTGCCAGATTCATGTACCATCAAACATAAGCAATTGTCATACCCTTGACATGCCTTACACCTTTTAGAACCTTGTCATCAACAAGAGTATGACAATTGCTTATGTTTGATGGTATATGAATCTGAGAATTTTACTCTCTCCCTCTTAAAATATAAAGGACAATAGTGATATTTTTTAGAGAAAACTAGGTGTTGAAGCTATAGGCGTTAGTTTCTATCAATCTTCCAATGCTTTACCAATTACCAATTTGTTTATTGATGACAAGGTTCTAAAAGGCATAAGGCGTTGGGTTCTAGCATTAAGCCTTAATTAGTCTCGCCTAGGCATAATAAGATATTTCTTATTTTTAATATTATTTTAATTATTCTAGACCAATAAATAAATAAAATAACGAATATCTTGAAAATTTACACTAATTTCTTATATATTTTCAAGTTTTTGACAAAAACATAATTCTTAAAATCATTAATATTTCGAATTAATAATGCTTTGTTCGTGGGTAGAGAAATCTATGTTCATGGGGAGGGTTTGATTTAGGGTGACTTTTTTGTTGGGTTTATTTTGTTAAGTTTTAGCAGTGGTTAAGCATTGTGTTGGGTTAGACTTCTAAACAAAAGAACTCCAATTGCCAAACCAAAAGGCGTTTTCACACCTTTTTCTACCTAAATGCGCTTTAGGTAGTCACGTAGATCGCATTTTTCTTGCCAGGCGTGAGACAGGGTATTTCTCCATGACCGTGCCTAGGTTGGCGTTTTAGAACACTGATTGATGATCTCAATAACTTTAACTGTGCTGCCCTAATACATTCTAATGCCTTGAAGTTGGATACTGGCTTTGGAGATTAGAAGTACTAAGGTGAATTAAATTATTCTATACTTCTAAATGTTTTCTATTGGTGCACATTTTTTAATGAATATTAGTTGAAAAGTTATTATAGATTTGATTATTTTTTATCTTTTTATATTTCTGGGAATTAATGTTGGATAAGTTATTAAAACAGTCCTTAAAGACCGAGAAGAAATCCCATGTGTTTTTCATCCATGCAGGTACAACATGGGCATGATACCATCTCGTAAAAGTTTGGCTTTATGTGATCGTCTATCAGTATCATCATTTTGTAGGTAAGTGAGGTGTTGCAATCCAATCTCATTGTTTAAATCTTGAGTTTGCCCAAATTATTAGTTGTTTAGTTTACAAGATAAATGATCTTAGAGATGTTAAGAGTCACAATTCTAGATTAACAAAAAACATTCAACCTAAAATCTTCACATTTTGAGTGTAATCATAGACGTCCAATATCCTATAGTGTTTGGAGTGTTACATGCTATTTTGTATGTTAGATATTTGACCATTGAAGAAGAAAAATAAGCCTATGTTTAGTTCATGTTTATATGCCTATGTATGAGTCCCATTTTTTTTTTTTTTTTGTTGAAAATGAGTTTTATAATAGTGAATTTTTTGAGAATGTGTTATTAAAAAGTAGGGAAAAATTTTGGATTTACATGCAAAATATATTATTGTGAGAAAGTAGTTGAAAATGAGTTTGGAAAAAAAAATTTGAGTTTTTAGATAATGGGGATCAAACAGGGGCTAAATACACTCAAGTTACTTTTTATTTACATATTTAGTATTTAGAGAACCCACAAGCACTACAAGCAACTACCACTCATTTAAATTGTTTATAAAAATTTATTTATTATCGTGACCTATGTGTACCTTACTTGCACTGAGCTCTAAATCTTCTATAAATCAGGAATATAAATCAATGTATTTATAATGCAAGTATCTTTCCTTCTTGTGGTGTATTTCTGTTTCTCTTAGGCGCCGGCTGTCCAGTGTCCTCGTACGTCTGAAGATGGCTGAACACTTGACAGAAGCAGTAACGTATATTGAGCAGGGACATATTCGTGTAGGACCCGACACTGTTACTGATCCGGCATTCCTCGTTACGAGAAATACTGAAGACTTTATTACATGGGTTGATACATCCAAGATAAAGAGAAAGGTCTTGGAATACAACAATAAGGTGGACGACTATGATGCAATGAACTGAGGTCTTGGAGAGTCATCTTTCCTGAAGCTGCTGTTAAAACTCGATAATTGAAGGCAGGTCAATTCCTTGTCGGATAAGTGATAATGTGGGGAGTGTGGCACTATTAAATTTTCGGACACTTCTGATCTTATACAATCACACTTTTTACATGTAACTGGATTATCTTCTCAAATTGTTTTTTGGTTTCTTTTTGTTCTTGAGATTAATTATCGTAAGAATATCTATAGTACCAATTAGAGATGATGTGAATGATTAAACGATTCAAACAATAATCTAACGTCATGTATTAAGTAGTTTCTTTCTTGATGATTAATTTTTATTTTATTATTTGATAACCGTGGATGTCCGGGACAGCTTGCGCACACCTCGACTAATTCCAAATTAATTATCGTAAGAATATCTATAGTACTAATTAGAGACAACGTGAATGATCAAACGATTCAAACAATACTCCAAAGTCATGTATTAAGTAGTTTCTTACTTTTTTATTATGTAATTTGAATTGTTAACTCGAAAAATAGAGAGCTTGTTAAAGTCGTTACTTCCATCTTTAGATATTTTGTCAATGACAGTCTTAAGTCAGAATTGATAAGGAATTATGGCCGATGGAATAATTCTGAGTTGCTCTTGTCAGGCGCCTTTTAGAGGCCTGGCAGAGCACTGGCTGCATGTATTGTTAACCCATGAAAATGAGTTCATTTAGAGAGAGAAAAGGGTCTTGAATTCAAGTGTAACAAATTAAACACAATTACACCAATCAATTTCAGTCTCTTGTTCAGGTCATCGCCTTTTCGTCTTAATTAGCACACTGAAACTGCTGTACAGAAGAAATAGGACAATGAACGTATCTCTACAATTACTCACTGGAACTGAGGCTGGGACGGTAAATATTGACTTGACTTGATCGTATCAGAAGAGGTACTTCAAGAAACATAGGAAGAATCATCATAGCAGTATGATACACGACAACCTCATATAAAACTGAGATGTGGGCATGCTCCAATTCCTTTCACCTTACTCCTTTCATCAAAACTCGTTAGTCAGTAAATACCATTTGCAATTCTGATCCCGCAAGACTCCCAGCAATTGTACAGCAATTTAAGATTCCACTTTGACAGCATACAAGGAAAGCAGCTAGAAACAACCTTTTTGGACTGTAAAAATGAAATTATTAAGCAGAGTTTACTTGTCATAAAATGCCAGAAGCTGCTTGACATGGTTTTGCCATGCTGCGACATTTTCTCCATCAACAGTGACCCAATCGACAACAGTTGAGGCTGGCTGTTCCCACCATTCGTCAAGCTACAAATAAATGCCACAGAAACAATGGAAAGTAAGACCAACAGTAATCATTATCTAAACAAACAATTCCTTCACGTGTTTGTTAAAAAATATGTATAAAGGACTAGAACCATGGGGAGAATTGATGTAAAACACGAACAAATTGCCATTATAACAGTCTTCACTTGAACATGAAGTATGGGACATCAGTCACCTAGAAAGCACAGCCATATATATGGATATTCATATTTATTGGTTTGCCTCTCACGAGCCTGGCTTCATTCATGCTAAGCATAACAAAATTTTGTAGTATCAAGTCACAACAAGCCCGTAATTTGAAATGTTATATCAATAAGAAGAAATATGCATGTCTATAGATTGGGATGTAGAAACATAAAAGATTATCTTTCGGTGCCAAAACTGGGGCTTCTTGGCTCCTGCATGGTGCGCTCAAAATGATCAAGTTCACAAAAAAAGGAACTTCTTACTTTCTATCGCTGAAGTCATATTGGTTGTCCATTCAATTCCAATTGGTTTAAGGACACAGCTTTTAAGGTTTAAAATAGGTCTTTTAGCCTATGATATGGCGTCACACATTGGTTTAAGGGTATTGATGTCATGTCTAACACAATAATGTTGAATCAAGAAAATTTTAATGTACAAATTCACAGACTTTGAAGTAAATCGTGTATGAACATGAGCTACAGAATTTGGGTTGAAGTTCAGTACATGAAGGGAAAAGGAGAGAAGCTGAAAAGAAAAAGGGACAATGGTTGAAGCAGTTGATGACACGTGGGTAGGGCTGGACAAAACTCCCGAACTGAACTGGACCAAACCGGATCTGAACCAAACTGAATCTAACAATTCTTTTTAAATTAAATACCCGAACGAGTATCTAAATCAAGAACCGACGGGTTTGATTTCGGTTCTCGGTTCTAGACCTAGAACCGAATCTTCCTAATTTTAATAATTTTTTATCTTAAATAAGTTAAATTATTTTATTTTTTCTACATGAATTTGCTAACTAATTAATTTAACTCAAGCCTAAAATATGATTTTACTATTTGCAATTTTTAACCAAACCTAACTTAATCAGATTGACTTAAATTTTACCAAAATCTCTTATTCTACCGTAGTATCTTTTCTGCCGTTCTATTATTGTGAACTCACTATCTTTCTCTTCTTGCGATTTTAACAGTCATATCTATGAAAAACTCAACAAAGAAATGTGCAAAAAATATAACTAGATTGGACTACATTATTTTGTAAGAGTTAAGATTGAACATGTTATAATCGAATTAATGTAGTGTTATTGTAAATATAAAAAAATTAATTATTGTAGGGAACCTGAGAACCGAATAGAATAGAACAGAACCGAACCGAACCGAAACGAAAGGAACCGAAACCGAACGGTTCCATAATTAAATTTGGACCCGACGGTTCCATTTACTAAATACTCGAAAATTTCGATTTGGTTCAGTTCGGTTCGGTGCTCTTCAAAACCGAACCGAACCGGACCATGTCCAATCCTACACGTGGGGCTGAAGTTTCGACAACGAGCCAACTTGAATTCTAGCCCCTGTTTGAAAACTATTATTTTACAACTCTTTAATTCTTATACTCATTTTCAACAACACATTTACACAAATATTTTGCATGTAAACCAAGAACTTTTTCATACTTCTTAACCACACATTCTTCAAAAAATCACTATTCAAAACTCTATTTTCTCAAAATAATGGCCAGGGGATAAATCATCATTCTAACAGGAATTTCGCAACAATAAACACAAGGAGAAAAAAAAAATTATCTCATTCAAGGATAAGTCCTAAGTTGCTCGGCAATTGTGCAATTGCACAAGTGCATAAAATCAAAAAAATTGAACTGAGAGCATGACAAGGTCGGTACTTAATCCACCAAAAATCTAAAAAATATATATATTGATGACTACAGAAAAAAGGAAATTAACTTGAAGTATTGAAGAGTACTCACCAAGCCTCTGACATATTTGCAGTCTTCAAGGAATTTTTGAGCATTTAGAACAGCATTCTTTAATTCTGGTATCCACTTCTCTGTAACAGTTTTCTCTTGTTCAGCGGCCAAATTTAAGCAATAATTGGTTGTCCTGCAAGATAGAGTCAACATAAATCAGTAAAGCCATCTATCTCTGTCACAAAAGAAAAGACCAAAAGGGTTTAATCTTAATGCTCATGTTTGTGCTTCCTACTCATAATTCACAAGTCTGATAAATAAGAAAACACAAACAACACTGAGGGAAATTTTTTTAACTAAACAATGTCAACACTACATTTGAGTTTTCTCAGGTTCTCCCAAACACTAAATCCATGCATCAACAGCATGAGAACATGAAAGAATCACCGTGGGTTAGATATACCTATCGTACTCTTGCCGTGCACGATGAACATAATTCAACAATGAATGACCGCTCTCAACAAGATCCCTTCGTACATGAACCAAATTAATTGCCTTGGCCAAGTCTTCCAATACACAAGCCTCGGAACATCGAAGCCTTAAACAAAACTCCATGGATTCTAAGACTGATGTTAAACCAGCATCCAAGCCATCCAAACCTAGGGATAAATTATAAAGTTCAGCCAGAAAAATAGATTAAAATCTAAGTTAAAGTCAACAATCAATTTTAATTACACATTTTATGGGATCCACAACTTTTCAACCACAATTTCATCTATTTTTATCAAAATCTACTAAAATTTTGATTTTAATCTAAACCAAACAGGGCCTATATCAGATATTTATACTGGTCAGAGGTAATCTTGCATGAAGAAAAGATCAAGCAACCAACCCCTTCCGCATTCATAGAGGAGCAACAAGAATAACTCCCTAGTATTTGGTAACAATCCAATTTCAGTCGAGGAATGTCGTAGAAATCTAATCTTATGAACCATAGCCTAATTATATTTAGAAAATTAGAATTGTGACCAACTCAGGGTAAGTTTTTGAGTTTTTCTATTATCAAGTTCTAGTTCTGCTTTTATCACAGGAAGTTTAAGAATAAATTCTTATCCGAATTTCTAATGATTTATTTGTGGTTGGAATAAAATAAACTTATCTTGGAGGTTGAGATGAAAAATTATACAAATTGATGCAAGTCCTTGGAAAGACTATTGATGCCAAAAGCTTGCCAAAAAGTGGGACTATCACATACAGAAGACTAAATGTCAAAATTTTGATTAACATATTTTGCACAAATCCAGTGTAAGGTGATTTAATCCAAGTCCACCAGTATACTATCCAAGAAAGCACCCATAAGAGATTCCAAAGATGGACAAATACTCACCAGCAGGATACTGCAGGGCAGCAGAAATACGGCATATAGAAGGTACTGCAGAAGGATCTCTGCCACCAGCTCTTGCTGTCAGCACTGCAGCATTCCTTTCAGCAGTAGCGACTGCTTCAGGTCCTGTAGATCCATTAGCACCCATTGCCTCCAAGAGTGCCTGATCAGAAAGAAAAGGGTGCATAAGAGAACTGGATGATACAAATATCACGAGTGTGTGAACAGGTATTTTCTTATTGCTGGATGGGTCTCTTTCGTCTTTTAAGGTTTGAGGTATAAAATTGTTAAAGAGGCTAACTTATGATGGATTATCAGCAAGATAGACATATTAAAGCAATAGTACGTGGCTCGTGAAAGAACTATTTATGAAATGTAAGCTGTGTATTGGGGACCAAGATCATCCTGCAGAAGAAGACCCATTCCAGAAAGAGAGAACAAAACATTTTTCAGAAAGTCAAAAAGCCATCATATGTAGTTGTAGTGGAGTCAAAATATTCAAAAATAAACTGAAAAAGTCCCCATAAATTTTATTTTTT